CGACTAATCTCGACATGAGAAATCGATTGAGACTACTTTCAGGTCGATCAGACTTTTTTCGCCATTTTTATATATTCAAAATGAAACAATTTTTTTGGTTTTACAAAATTTTAATAATAAATAAATAAGTTAAGTGCAATAAACAAATAAACAAAGTAAACCTAACCTAACCTAGCCATTGTAAACAAAGTAAGCTCCGGTAAAACCGGAACCGGAAGTCTGATCGAAGTGGAAGTGGTCTCAATTGATTCCTCGTCTCAAGATTAGTCCGATAAGACTAATCCTATTATCCTCAAGTCACTCTAATACCAACCCCAGCAGTGGGTAATCCCAACTAATATTTACATTTGAATGTCACTAGTCGTTACTAATACTATGACTGTACTTATCCCTTTTTTTACTGTTGATTTTTATCAGTTTGAAAAATAATTCCTTACGGAGATGTAAGAAGTAATATTGTAAAAAAATTAAGGAATTGCTTTAGTACGTTAGTATTTCAAAATATCCTAACCCAATGTTCCAAAAGATTCAATGTTTGACCATTTTGTTAGATTTAAGTATTTATTACATAAAATTAAAAAATAACAAAACAGTCGAAAGATTTGCTATTTCCGATTTACCTTTTAGATTCTGCTCTAGCACATCAACATTTTGAAATATCTTAATTAAATTTCAATGTGTTTGCTCTGGGGTCAGATGCAAGTTCTCGGTGCAAAAATACATAGAACAGTGCTTTCTAAAAGGCCGTACTGTAGCAGACTGGAAAAGAAAAACCGAAATTGAAAATTTACATTCTAATCTCAAAAGAAACAATACATAAGAAAAGAAGTTTGGTCCTAAAAGATTTAGTATTATTGATATTTCCTGGTGGCTTATTGAACTTTTCGATTTTTTTCCAAGAAAAAGAATACATCACTAAACATTTTGGTTGATACCTAGAACAATGAAGAACGGGAACAGATTCATTGAAATAAGCGCACAATTTAAGCAAATTAATACAAAAGTGGCTATTCTATTGGTACAGTGCCACCATGTTATAGCACTCTGCTCGAATGTTTTTATAAAACATTATTGTTTTTAGGAAAACGAAATAAAATCTGACGAAAGAGAGTCAAAGAGATCTTTCTCCTCTCTTTCAGTTTGGATTTTTAAAGGTTAATAGAAGAGGAAGAATTTAATAGAGACGATATTTCAGTGGAAACCTGTGAACTCAAAGCCAAAAGGGGTTAAATGTTAAATGTTTTTTAAAAAGTAACCGCTACGTTTCACTTCAATTGTAAATCTTCTTCAAGGCTAGTTTTTTAATGTTAACGAAGAAGCAAAGCAGATGGAAAAGCTTTTTTTATAAAGGTACATAATAATTGACAAACTAAACGAACTGCTTGGTTAAAAACACTAAATTTTATTAACCAACATTCACAATTGTGACTAAAACAATTGAAGAATTAAAATAATAATTAAATTAATAAGTACAATATGTAGTTACACTCAGACAATACACTTAAACAACAAAAAAGTTGAGTTGAGGAAGTCTGGCAATTAGGAGGAAACGTAAGCGGTTGCTTTTTAAAAAATAAACAAGTTTTAATTCCTTTCGGCTTTGATTTCACACTGAATATAAAACAGGGAAGAATTGAGAATGGAAACCATAATTTCTAATGTTGTTAATGTATTTCCAGCTGAAAATATTTTTAAATTTTGAAAGCCTATAAAGCAGTGACGTGTTATCTCGATAAAAGAAATTGGTAAAAACTTTTTTATAGAAAATTGTTTCCTCTTATCAATGGAGTTAGTCCCGTTAGTATTTTTTATTCATAATATATTGATGAAAAATTCTAGCGAAGTATTCTTTTCCATGATTTTCTAATTGAAAATTAGAAAGTCTAATCTAATGTTCCTTCAGTAGACATCAATATTATGACCTTACAAGAAAGAAAGAAAAAAGAAATGTAAAATATAACCATTATAATGACTTTTGCGTATTATGAAACAATGAGGATTAAAATTAACCACTGTAAATTAGAAAATATATCAAAACAGTAAAATTTGAATTTAAGTATACGAAAGTGTACGTGAAGTATAATTATATTTTTATCACCTTATCATATCAATTGTTCCATACTTTCTGTAGGTAAAAAATAATACAATAAAATATCTGTCTGACATGGGTAACAATGTTAATACGTAAGTAAAATGTGTGTAAAATAATACACATCAAGCTTGTCCATTAATGTCAAAAATGTAGTTAATAATTTATACAGTATCAACGATTAAGACCTACAAACAATTACTTTTGTATTTGTTTAAACCATCTTTTATGAGTATTAGTAAGATATTTAATTGAAGTAAAAATGTTTATTTGTGGCAGAGACTCCCCCCTCAGAGAATCAGAAAAATTTAATCAAATGCCAAATTCCCCAAATCTACCTCTAAATCATTATTATGGTATATAAACACTAATATTTTAAACACTTTTACTTTTTGTGTTATGTGAATTAGGTGTTCTATTTAAACGATCTGTTTAAGTGGCCCTCTTTTACTATTCATCTCAAATTTATGTTTCCGCCGACATGGACCCTTTGTAGTTTGAAGTCGATCCCTGGGGATCGATATAGGACCCATTGGGAATCTGCTCTAGCGGAAACAATAATAAAATTCACAAAATATCCAAGAAATTAATCTTTCATTTAGATATTTATTATTTTAGTATATTGAAACTTTTACAGACTGCATTTAATTTGCCCATACCATCCATTATCTTGCCCCCCCTCCCCCGATCCACGGGCATCATTTCCATATATATATAGTGTCCAGATTTTTCTTGAAATTTACATTAGAGAACATTTTTAAATTCTGTTTCATTGAAGTTTATTAAATACGTAATAGTTATTTTATCCAATAAAAATATTGGTTTACACAACAAAAACTAACTCATAAAAGAAGGTTTTATAATACGGAATTTTTTANTATAATTGTTGTTAATTAAAAAAAAAACAAAAGCTCTTGTGTCATTTTATCATTATTGCTGTAACATTTATGTTATTGCTATTTGTTTCGTATATATAATAATAAGAAAAAATGGAAAACACCTAAACATAACAAATCTACACCAAGTTAAGCATTTGTCTAGCATTTTTGGTAACAATTTGCTAAAAAGCGAATTTCTGTAAGATAAATGTTGAATATTATGAGAAAATTTAGAAAACAGGGTAAGTAAATTATTTGTTAATCATTTGGTTTTTCTATCTATTTATTATTTAACTGTCTGGTAGATATATACCGTTAAAAAGTACCTACTTAAACTTATTCGTGTATTTATCCCTTTATTGTGTTGTACCTTTATCATCAAATTAGGTATTTACTTAACTCATTCTTTTGTATTTTAGATTTTGTGTAATTTGTTCTGTGTATAAGTACAATAGATAATTAATTTAATATAGGATGAGGACGATTTTCTATTTGCCATAAAATTAAAAATTATTTTCAACCGTAAGTAAATGTTCTGAAAATAATTTTACTGAAGAATACTTTACAATTATGTAAAATGTGAGATTTGGAACCATATTCTTTATAAAAAATCAACTGTTGTATTTAAC